GGCTGGCGGGCCCAGGGAGGAGGTGACAGGCTTTCATCGCCCGCTGCAAGAAGGGCTGCCTGGGCTTTCCGCCTCCCCCTGGGCCGTCCGTCCTATCCCCATATAATGTCCCCAGTTCTGTTTTGGGAACAAAACTTGTGGCATCGTGAGTCACAGCTCTCCTGTCCTCGGCTGTCAGCAGCTCTGTGCACTCAGGACAAAGCATCTTTCTTCTCTGACCAACCCCCAGTAACTTAATGATCAGGTTTCATGTCACTGGCTGAGGACATTCCCTGGCTGCCTGCCGGCTCTTGGTGCCGAGCCCCAGGCCTGGTGGTCCCCGCCTCTCCCGCTCTCCCTGGGCCCCTGACGAGCTGCGGGAACTGCAGCCAACGCGTCCCATTGCGGCGTTCATGCCCCCGGCCGGGCGAGCCGCGGGTCCGGGTTCCTCCTGGCGACTCCGCTCCCCTTGGTGTGGCCGAGACGTCATCTGCTGGCTTGCGGGATGGGATATGAACTAACCCTTTTCAGTAAATTCTTCTCTCTGGAATATTAAAGACGGAAAACTATTTGTTCCCACAGATAAGCTGTGAGCCCAAGCACTAAAAAAAAAAAAATTGAAACCAGATTAATAAAAGAGAGACACGCCAGTGTCTCACAGAGTTCAAGGTGGAGCTTCGGGCTTGGACGGTCCCAAGGCTTTGAGAAAATCTCAGCGCCTGGACCGGGAACGCAAACCAAACCAAACAGCAGGGTCTTCGCGTGTGCTTGTCTAGTTCCAGTCCAGTAACTTTGATCGCTGTCTCAGTTAACTGCTCGAATATTCGCAGGGGCAAAAGTAGATAATCTGTTTTCCTGGCACAGAAAACAGACTTTATAGTTTTGAATAAGGTGAAAGGTGAAGGAAAATGGAGAACAAGGGACATGAAACTTTAGTTTCTACCACAGGTCGCTTTAAAATATATACCTTTCCACCTCACACTATGGTCAGTTAAGTTAAATAATGGCTAAAAACACAATTATTGTACGTGGAAAAGTGTTTTTCTTCATTGTTTCGATGGTCCGGAGTGAGGCCTGTTTGCTGTGCGTTTCTAAAACGGCACTGGGAATTTCCTACCAGTTGGTTGACACGTGTTTGGGGTACACGCAGCTCCCAAATGGTGCAGACTGGCTCCATCTGCCACCAGGCTCCTTCAGAAATGTCCTTCCGCCTCCCCTGCTCCCCACCCTGTGCTCCGAAGCACCCAGCGGGTATTATTGTGACTCTCGACAGACTCTTTGCTTGGTCAAACCTCAGTCCATCTCCCCAGCCTCTCTCAGCCCCATCTGTGCCCCTACGTCCCGTAAGATCCGAGCTTAGCAAGCTTCCTGCTGGGCCAGTTCAGCCAGAACCCCTGACCCCTGCCATCCGAACCACCTTCCCGTTCCGATGGGGTTCCTCATCCCCCGCGTCCCCAGGTGAGGTCTGATCACCTGGCGGCCTTCGGCAAGCCTCCCGCTGGG